CCTATGCATTACAACCTTCCATTACTACATGGACATACCAGGTTAGGGCTATCTAATTACTATTTATATCAAGGTACTACCTCATTAAATGTTACTGAGTATATATAGTCCTTCGAATTTACCTTCGATGCAGACTTACTAAGTATGGTACCAAGATTACACTCTTAGATTTTATCTGTGTTAGTGTATCTTGTATCTACTAAACCAGTTTTGGTGCTAGAGGTGTTCAAGTTTCAGTAAGTTTATTTCTTTCTCATAGTTTTCTTTTATGTTCACTATATCACTCACTAGTGTGCCTTCTCTCTATTTCTGATATGTTCACTGCTTCTCTCGCATCGAGCACCAACTCTTCATATTGGGAAACTTCTTTTTGAGAACTTCCTTATATATCGATCTTCTATTCACATAGACTTAAGCCACAGGGCTTTGCATACATTCATATGCTTCTGTAGATTACAGAGTTTTGTCTTCAGCTGAAATTAAACCATTAATCTTGTCTGTGGAGGGAGGAGTGTCTAGACCACTAGGCTACAGAACCTCATCCCTACATTTCTACTTGATATATTCATTATTGTTATATAATTATTGTTTGCTATTCCAGGTTAGACGATTATTCCTTTTTTAGCTAATTCTATAGGAGTTCCTATATACCAATTTTCTACAAGGTTTTCTATCCTATGTGTCCTATATTCATAGAGGATATCTCTGTATTTTCATTACAGAATATCTTATAATCTATCTGTTTTCCTTCTATTATTATTGGTAAGATTATATATTTTATTTTTATTAGCATTTCTCTAAAATGTTTATATAGACTGCTATTTTCATTATCTGTTTTGACTATTCCATATTCTTTATCTGTTTCTTCTTTGTCACTTTCATATTTATATTGAATATTTTTATAGTTTTGCATATCACTTTTGGTGAAGTATATGCATATGCTTTTTGCCATTGTTCATCTATTAAATTACTATTTCTTGTGACTAGGTATTGTGCTGTTTGTCTATTTCTTGGTATTTCTAATATCTTAGTATCTTCATCATTATATCTTCTTGGTTTTGAGAATTTACCTATCTTTTCTTAAGTATTATACCTATTTTTATAATAATTTTGTACATCATCTTCTATAATGTTATTTATTTCATTTATTTCTTTTTCATCTTCAGATGTTATTTCTTTATTTTTGCTTTCTTGAAAGAGTTTTCTTCTAATATCTCTTTTTTTTCTCCATTTATCTTTATTTGTGAATAATAAATTTGTATTAGTTGATGCAACTGTTCTTGTTCTTTTATATTTTATAGGTGGTTTTTGGAGTTTAAATTCTTCTTCATTATCTTTTAGATTTATTTTATTTTTTAAACTAGAAGGTATTTTTGATAAATTTAATGTACTACTGTTTCTTTCATAAATTCTTTTAAATATTAAATTTATATTATTTTTATTTACAAAGTCTTTTATCAGAGAACTTAGTCTCAGTGATTCTTTTGCTTGGCTTTTTAAACCATTCTCTTATGTTTCTACTTTTGAGACTAAAATCTTCTTTACTAGATGTTGGAGTTACAGGCCATTCTCTATAGGTATTATCTTTTGGTATATACCTATTATGAGTAACATCTTCTGGTATAAACATTTTAGGTTATGGTTTTACTCTTATTAATTTTTGATCTTTTATAAACCTTCTTTCTATTTCATTATCATTATATATTTTTTCTTGTTTTTCTAATGAAGATGCTAATAATTTTTTATATTTATCCTAAAATTGTTTTCTTACTTTTTCACTTAAAAATTCTGATTCTATTAAGAAGTTTCTCATTGTTATTTGTTATTTCCATGTTTGCATTTAATTGAATTCTTCTTTTGTCATATTTAATAATGAATATTTATTAAATTAATATACTTTCTCTATATGTTTAATCATTTCTTTATTTTTCTAAACTTGTTGATCTCCTAACTCTGTTAATGCTTATATTATATTATATAAGGCTTTTTTACTATCTTCTTCTTTATTATTAATATTTATTTTTACAGTTTTTTTTACAGTTTCTAGATAACTTTCTAATTCATTATCTGGTAAGTTTAAGACTTATTCATAATTGTCTTCAATAGTTTAAAGTCTATTCTTCACTTGTCTTAAGCCTTTTTCTATTTTTTTACTATTATTTTTCTTTTTTTCTTATAATACTCTTTCCAGTTGAGAAAGATTTTCTTTTACAAATTTTCCCATTTTAGAGGTGTCTGGTATAGTTATTTGAATTTCTTTTTGTTTCTCTTTCTTATTTTTGGAAACTATTCTATTTGTTTTTTTAAATCTTTTGATTTCTTCTTGCACATCTACAATTAATTGTTTATTCAATTTTTATTTTGCCTTGTTAATTGGTTTTTCATATTGAGTATGTATTGTCATATGCTTCATTTGATTAGCTAAGTCTATTATAGTCGGTTCTTCAAATTGCATTGCAAAGAGAATTGTTAACATTTTTTCATAATTTTCTTTGTTTTGTTCTAATTTTTTGTTCTTTTCTTTAGATCATTTTTCTTGTATTGTTTCTTTATTCAATACATCATTAGCAAATTCTTTTAATTTTGTTACTTTATGAATTTGTGCTATTTGTTGTGTTAATTTATTATTAGGTGTTTCCAATATCATGGCATAGACCTCTTTATGCCTTGCTATTATCTGATAGACTTCTATAAATATTTTTGCTACTAGATCCAGTATATATGCATGTTTGTCTATTTCTTTACCAAATATTACTTCCAATAGACTATTGTTTATATATATTACTATTATTTTATAGCCATACATATTGTATATATTTTGATATTTATTGATTCTCTTGCCTCTATCTGCAGCACAATAGTGCTAGGTATCAAAGCATATTCTAATCCTTTTCTTGAATTTCTCTTTGTTTTTAAACCTTAACTGTTGAGCTATACTATTCACTATATCCATGAGATCAGATATTGTTGCATCATAGCAATTATTGCTTGCTAAGTTTTTCAATAATATACCTATTTCTAATTGTTGTTGAACTAGTTCTTTTAATATTTCATAAATATTATCTATCATGTCTGACCGATTCTTATCTGCTATTCCAATATATATTACAGCCTATTTTATTCCTATTTTATCAATATAATATATTTCTTTTAATTTTTTATTTATTTTTCAATGCCTTTTTATATTATTTATAATGGATCATTAAAGTATAATCTTATTGATGTATATAATATTATTTTTATCCCAATTTTTCTATTTTCTTATATGATAGTATCATCATCTTGTATATTTGGTTCACTAATTTGTAATATTATATATTTTTTTATCTATTCATTTTTGTATATATCTTTTGGTTCTTTATATTCTAAGAATATTTGTAATAAGTTGGAGTCTGTTGCTAGAGCTGTTTTAACTATGTCTTCCCAACTTCTATTACATGATACACCTATTAGTTTTGTTCTTTGTTGGTTTCTTTTAACTTGTTTCTTTAAGAATATTTCTTGCTCTTTTAAAGAATATAGTATTAATTCTTTAAGTATTTTAGTATTTTTTGATTTCTGATATTCAATATTAGTCTATTTCAATTTTTCTTTGCATTTTTCAATTGTTTATCATTTTGCTTAGTCTTATTAGATTGGTTAGTCATCTTAATTAGTATGTAGGTTTCAGTTTTTATATCTACATTGGGCACCATTAAGATGTTTTTTCTTATTTTTAAGAAGGTATCTCTTTTAAAAAGATATTTAAATATGTGTAAAGATTGGTTTCTTAAGGTTAAGTTAGCAGATTTATCATGAACTAGATTGTTACACCTATAATCTGTGTTTGATCTCATTTCTTGGTAGCTAATAGGCTTGTTATTAATTAAGACTATCTTGTTCTGTTAGTCTTTAGTAATATATAGTCTTGCTTAATCTACTTCAAATAAGAGAAGGTAAGGTTGTTCTCTTTTGATAATAGTTACTTTGATTTGTATTTGAATATCTTCTATCTGAATTGTTACTTTTACTTCTTCTAGATTTGAGATTGTTTTTTCTTTTGGTAATACTGCTTTTGTTTTGTTATCTTTGTCTAAATATTGTAATAAATTTCATTTTATTGCAATATTTTGTTCTATTACATTTCTACTTGCTTCTTTATTAAGAAGTACTTTTATTAGCCAATTATTTATTAGTGTCATAAAGTAATATGTTTGTTTTTCTTTTGGTCTTTTGCTTAAGTCTAACTAGTAAACTTTTTGAGAAAATTAGTATGTTTTCTTTGAATATTTATATTCTTTGTTGATATTTGCTTTATCAATCATTTTTTCAAATAATACATTCTTGGCAGAGCATTGATTTATGGGTTATTAATATTGTGATCTTTATTTAATATTTTTTTTTTTTTTTTTAATGTTAATGGTGAGGCCATGCCTCTATCTTTATTGAATATTTAACTGAGATTTTGCATAAAGTTTAAATCTACTTTTAAAATATTATAGCAAGAATAGAAGCTCAGACTAATTTATCTGTGACCTAAACCAA